GCCAAAAAAAAACAAATTTTTCTATAGCGCCCCGCCTTCGGGGCGGACACCCCCCCCCCCCGGGGGAAAAAAAAAAAAACCCCCCCTCCCGCCCCCCCCTCCCTTTCCCCCCGCTTTTGGGGGGGGGCGGGGGGGGGCTTTTTTTTTTTTTTCACCGGGGAGAAAGGGGTTGTGCTCCCCCACCTATTTTTTTTTTACCCCTTTTTCCCCCCGCCCCCCCTTTTTTAAAAACCCCCCCCTTTTAAAATCGGGGGGGGGGGGGGGGGGGGGGGAGGAGGAAGGGGGAGAGAGAATCGAAAATTAGAAATCAAACACCAGCGCACCCCAGCCAGCGCAACCCGCCATGACATGTTATTTAACTACCAGCAGCAAAACGCAATTATGTATGTATATTATATATAGACGGAGAGAAGAGGAGAGAGACAGAAAAGACACGAAAGTTGAAAAAGCGCGAAACCATTAAACAAGTAGCAGCGAATCAATTAATGAATGAATCAATCAATCAATCAATCAATCTTCGCATACGCCAACTTCTTCGGTGTGGTAAGATTATTCGACAGGCGCATGTTTGTCGTCTTAAACTTGGTATGTTTCCTCAGTTTCTTACGTGCCACCATCACTGGCACGGAGGACTTGGCGACAAGATAATTGGAGAATGAGCCGAGGAGCACGCTGTACGTCAGAATTATTAGCCTGTCTTTTGTTCGTGCATATAGGGGTGGGGGGGGGGTAGTATAAATCGGGTTGAGGCATAAAACGAAAGGGCAAAACACGGGAGATTTACCCTTTGAGCGCGCTCCGCCCTCTCGATCCCAAAATAACCAACGTAGGTTCCAACCCGTCAATCTAATGCAGCGATATTCCAGTTAGCACACCATATAACACACAGGTAAAACAGAATTAAAGTGAAAATAAACCCACCGCATCAGTAATCAAATGCTTCGGACTCTTACAATGAATAACCTCCACAGCAACCCGAACCTGTAACCTCGTCTTCCTCAACAACCTCACAACAGTCTGCGATATCCCCTCGACAGCATGCAACCTCTCCATCTCCGCCTTCGACATAGCCCGTGAATCAGTTGAGCCACTTTTGCTATCTGTCCCAGCCCCACCACCACCACCACCACCTCCTCCTCCTCCTCCTCCTGCTGCTGCTGCTGCTGCTCCACCAACGCTGCCGTTCCCACTCACATGAGTCGACGACGTATTCGCCGACCCGGACAGAAGTCCAGAAACCCCACTCGCAGTAATAGAAGCATTTTCCCCCGTCCTCTCCGTCTGCGACCCCACCACCATCATCACATCTAGCATGGCCTTAACCCCATCCGCAATTCCCACCCCATTTAACGAATCACTTTCCCCGCTTCCTCCTCCCTTCCCCTTCTCAGCCCCACCTGCAGCCCCTTCCTCGTCGATCGCATAGACAGCAAACAGCGTATCCCCATCCCTCAAAATGGTCCCAATAGTCCACTCCAACGCATAAACACTCTCGTCACTCAAATCTGTCGCAACAAGGTACGTGCGCAACCTAATCCGTCCATTGCTCCTTTGTTCCGCCTGCTCAACTTCCTCTTGGACGCGCGTGAACTCTCCACGCACGATGGTTCGGATGACACGATTGGGTACGGACTGGTCGATGGGAGACATGTAGATGCTTAGATTCTGTGCCTTTTTGAAGTCGTAGATTTGAGCCTCGTCATCTGAGGCGGCGGGAGTGTTGGGGATTGATGCTGTGCAGTCGAAGCTGGTGGCGGGGTGGACGCCCGATTTTTTCAATGGAAGCTTTTCTGCTGCAGAGGGAATGGGGTCGAGGAGTGATTTTACTTTATATGTAGCTGAGACGGTTTTTCCTGGAAAGGGATATATGTGTTAGCATTTTGCTTTTCTCTCTTTCGTTTTCTTTGTGTTCTTTGTTTTCTTTCTTTTCTTTTTTTTTTTTTTTTTTTTTTTTTTTTTTTTTTTTTAGCATATAGCTAATTCACCGGGATTTCGCCTTTAGAGATATATAAAAAGAGTATACACGTACGTTCTTCCTCAGCGGCAGCAAGAAGACTGCGCACTTTCTGCTGTCCACCACTCTCACCAACTCCATTCTCATCCGAAGCACCTTCAGAGTCTGATTTCTTACGACTACGCCTTCGCCCCCGTTGTATTTCAGAAGTCCAATCATCATCCCCCGAACTTGAATCGTCATTATCATCGCTGCTATCGTCGTCACTGATCCCGTCGTCACCCGAATAGTAATCCTTTTCAAGTCGTGGGTCCCCAGATTCCGATACCTCATCCTCCCCCCTCTCACAACTCGTAGACGGTTTTTGGAATCTGGCCAAAGTTCCACCGGCCCTCGACAACGCTGCGTTCGACAGTCGTCGGTACGCATGATCCAGATTAATAACCTTTCCCGTGTCCGTGACATATTTCCCCGGAGTGGGCATTGGGTTGAAGGAATTTGTATTGAGAAGTAGACCTGCACCTGGAGATCGTGAGCGACCACCTGGGGATTTCGAATGACGACCAGTCACGCCCATGCCTCCTCCGTGTTGGATTGTGTCCCGGCCCCTTGTGAAACCAGGCAGTCCACCCAAGTCCTGTCCAGACATGACAGCTACCATGGAACTGACGTGGGGGGCATTGCTGCTGTGATTCGAGGACTTCTTCCCGCCTTGTGTCACTCGTTTTGGCAAGGCTTGGCTGGGGATACTTGGCAACATTTCGAACTGATACCCGTCGAGGTCCTGTTTCTTCCTTACGGGTAACGAGCTAGAGGAGGTTTCTGAAAAACAACGATAAGCATCCTCGTATGTGGGTGATGTTTTTGGTGACAAGGGGGACCTTGGAGACTTGGCTGATCTGGTTGATATGGGAGAGGTGGGGGATACGTCATGGTGAGGCGGGGAAGCATCAGCACTCTGGGTTAACCGTAGAGGCGAGGGTGAAACGGGATCGAGCAAGCTACGCACTGGAGCTTGAACTGCTGGTCGATTGGAGGAGGATGCTGTGATACCGACGCCAACGCCCGCAATGGAGTTATGCCTCGGTGCAGCATGGTCTGGAGCGATATCAAGCATACTCCGGATTGGCGGGGCATGGCTAGATCTGGCAGGCTCCTGCGGACGTGAGGGGCGACCATCGAGGATATTCAGGATCTCAAGCCGCTCTTCATCGAGCGCTGCCTCCAGCGACATTTGTTTAGGAGGCATTATGGACAAAAGAGGATGATATTAATTAAGGGAGAAGTTGTGTGGTGTTTGGTGAGGTGTGGTGAGAGAACAAATGTATATGATTGAGGGTACGAAGGGAATGTGAAGCAGCAGCAAAGAAGTAACGTAGTTATTATTTAGTTGTTCGAAGCCGATCCAAGTTTAGTCACCCCACGCTCGATTAACTTAAACGGTTCGAGACCAAACTCAGCCAGAAGAGAAAACGCGATGCAAAGCAGCTACCGTTTTATTTTATTCAATAACTCTGTTAACAGCTACAAGACCAATTCAGCGTATGAGCAGCAAATCGAGAGAGGGGGAGAATGAAGAGGATATTCACCTCGAGAATAAAATCACCTTCTTACTTACCAGCACCGTGACACGGACAGCAGGAGTTTAACGACCTGAGGTCTATAGAGCTTCCACAGACAGAGGTGGGAATTGAAGCTGTCTGGTAGGCTGTAGGCACAGCTCGGAGTATTTAGGTGGGGAGCAGTTTTAAGCTGCGAGTTAACGTTTGACTAGCTATTCTTATTATTAGTTAGCCCGTCTGATAAACTAGTTATTAGTTTAGGGAGTTGGCGTTGCGTTTTGTTCGACCCGTTGGGTACGGAGTAAGCAACTAAAGGGCAGCCCTGCCCTGCCCTGCCCTGCGATCAACAGACACAGCAAGTCAAACAGCAACAGACACTGGCCTCGCTCTTCTTCTACTCCATCAGCGTTACAGAACACACAGAACAATGCAGGGGGAGAGTGCTATATATAGACAAAACAGTGGAGAGGCAGCGGGCAGGCAAGCCCTTCGCAGGGGCAATTATCAGCAAACGGAAATACAACCATTTGAGGGAAGGCATAGAAAACATAATTGGAAACAGAGGGAGGAGATTTGGGGGAGGAATTTGCAGCCGGAATTTGGAAGAGAAGAGCCACAGTAACTGTCATAAACCTCCACACATGCAACAGCAGCACCCGGTGCACGGAGAATGAACGAGAAGTGGCTGGAGCAGGACCAGCACGGCTGCTTGTTGCTGTGTGCTTGGCCTCTGGGTAGTTAGTTAACTATCACCAAGAAACCAGGACTCAGCAGCCAAGAAACTGACAAACCGGGGCCAAGCAGGACCATCCAAGCAACGTGGGCAGCAAGGAGGGACAAAGGGGTGGGATGTGCGAGGGGTAAGGGGCAGACAGATTCCGGCAGAGGAACGGGAGAGTGCAGAGTGCAGAGTACAGAGTACAGAGTGAGAGCGGAGTGGCTTGAAGGAATACCCCAGACGGTGGATATTAACTGCATCTTTGCCTGTCGACACGCGGTATGCACCCACTAGGTATATATATAACTATGTGTATCTACATCCCGTCAGCAGTCGTGCCTGCGCTGGGGTCTACGCTGTCCGACAGCACCACTGGGGAGGAGCCTCCGTTCGCATGTTGGCAATCTCATTTAACGCCATACGGAGGAGACAACAACAACCCTAGTCCATCCCTCGCAGGTTTTTTATTCTTTGCTTTCGGGTAGGACTGGTCCAGCCAGCCATCCAGTCGGCCCTGCTATGTATGTGGTTATGGATCTTGAGAGCTGAGTTCTATACTCTTTTCAGTCCCGATCTCTATCTTCGTGTCCCCAGGATGTTCGAGAACACTCGAGTCGAATCGGATTGGGGTTGGATTGGATTGGCCTGTCATCACTTGTACCAAAGCAAGCGATTCCTTTCGATCATTCGATATCCTTGTCCCGCATCCCGCATACCTGTAAGCTGTAACTAACTGCCCTCGTACCAATCTAATAAATAAACCAATTACCCAGACATAGAAAGATGAGGAAAAGGGAAAACAAACGAGAAAACACCTTTCCCATAACCATGCATTATTTAACCCATCCCCGTCCAGAAGCGCCTATCATATCGCATCTTAAAGCCACGAGGTTAAACAACAGAACATGAACAGGAAATCGAAACCCAAATTCGGCCCCATCGCCAAAGCAGGAACAGACACCGAATCAGCGGTGTCCATGTCCATGTCCACACACACACCATCTAGCAAATGCACTATAAAAGAATCCGGAACCCAGAGTCACGACCCCTGCACACATAGTGTCCTACACATGCCTCTTTTTTGTCGCTTTGCGGTTGGCAGTAGCTAGAAAGGCCTCCTCAGGCGGCTTATCATCCCCATGCCTCCCTTTCCGTTTCTTCCCTTTACTCCCCGGTCCATTCCCGCCCTTCGACCCAGCTGCAGGTGCATACCTCGCCTCCAGATCATCCAGAAACGTCGCAGCTCGGCTTTTCTGCCGTTGCTGAATAAGGGCGGCCAGGCCATTTAGATCAGCACCACCATCCTCATCTCCCTTGTTCATCCCCCCTTTCCCTTTGCCTTTCCCCTTGACAACCCCTAGCTCCCCTGCCACCTTTTCCGCCTCCTCTGCCTCCTTCCTCACCCTCGCAATCCGCGCAACCCTCCTCCGTTCCGTCTCCGCCGTATACTTAGGCCACCCCTCGACTTTCCCCTCAGCAATAGCCCCATCAATTATCTCCCGAAACCTCTTATCATCCTCCAGAACATTACTCAACATAACCTCCTCGTAAACTTTATCCAAGTCGCCCTTCCATCGCTCATAGGCCGCTAGAAGATCCTCCCTTTCCTGCTCAGATCCCTGGTATTCACTTTTGATTTTATCGATAGCGGCGCCATCGATTACCGTGGCGAATTGCTGGCGGAAGAAATCTATCCAGTTGAAATCATCGTCGTCATCGTTGAGGCTGTGGAGGGTTTCAGCTGTGCTCCCTGTCGTGTCGTAGCGGCGTCTGCGCCGGGGGTCGGAGAGGATGGCGTAGGCGAAGGCGAGCTCTTGGAATTTTTTGTGCGCGGACTCTTTGGCCGTTGGGGGGGCTTTGTCTGTTTGTTTTTCTGGGGGTTAAACTAAGGTGTTTTTTTTAAGGGGCGGAGCGCAGAAAATTGAAGTGGTTAGGCCAGTTGGGATCTTTGCTAAAGGCCTACCTGGATGATGCTTCAGGGCTTGTTTTCTGTAGGCTGATTTGATCTGATCTGCAGTCGCCGCCTCATCGACTCCTAGCACTTCATATGGGTTGATTGAGGATGGTGGCTCATCTGGCATGAGCTCATCCTCTCGTGATGGCATGGTTATTCCTCTTGGGCTCTCTTTCACAATTGGGCGAACGGGACTGGTACAGTATTTCTTCTCCTGGAGGTCCGACTCTGGTTTAAGCGGGAAAAATAAGAGTATATATTTTGAGGTCTAGGGTTGAATCTGGATTACAGCTGCTGGCAGAAGTTTTTATACCAAGAATTTTTTTTTTTTTTTTTTCTATGCTTATCATTTACCATGAAGATGCAACAACGAATATGAGAAGAAAAGTAAACGCGACTTCGCGCCAGACCCGGAATATGGAATATCCTTTCTTCCGTTGTTCCTGAAGCATGACGTCACCATAACCAGTTTCCAATTAATCCAATTTTCAATCCCTTAAATTAATTATTCCCTAACAACTTCTTTTCTACGGCAGCCTCTCATACAAGATCTGATCTATTAAAAATAAAATAGAAGCCCTTCTAACCATGGCCACCACCAGCATTCCCCCCTCCATCGCCCCCATCACCTCCCACCACAACAACCAGCAAACGCACCTCTACTACCTCCGCGCATGCCTCTCCCTCTCCCAACAATCCCCCCCCAAACCCACAAACTTCCGCGTCGGCGCAATCCTCCTCTCCCGAATGCCCACCACAATGCCCACCAATCCTCCCAACCAACCGCAATCCCACACCCCACCAGCCACATACACAGACACCATCCTCTCAACAGGCTACACCCTCGAGCTACCCGGAAACACCCACGCCGAGCAATGCGCATTAGCAAAATACGCCGCTCGCCACGGTATTAGCGAGGAGCACGTGGGTGACGTTTTACCCCCTCCTCCACCTTCGTCCGCATCATCGCAATTCCACACCACAGACCCCCCGCGCCCGCAGAGCATAATACTCTATGTCACCATGGAGCCATGCGGCAAGCGGTTATCGGGGAATAGTCCCCTGCGCGGCACGGATTATCCAGACGCGGACGTCCTCGCGGCAGAATAATACAGGGCCTAGCGCGGGCGGTGCTAGACATGGTATCGACAAGGTGTACTTTGGCGTTAAGGAACCTGGGACGTTTGTGGGTGGTTCGGTTGGGTGTAGGATGTTGACGGAAGCCGGGGTGGAGTGGGAGGTTGTTGAGGGGTTGGAGAAGGAGATTTTGAAGGTGGCGATGGAGGGGCACGAGGAGCGGAAGGGAAAGGGTGGTGGGGATGAGGTGCGAGGGACGAATATCGATGATATTTCCGAGGAGGAGAGGAGGAGGCAGGATGCTATGCCGCGTAATCCGTTGAAGAGGATGATGGAGGCGGATATTTAGGTAGAATTTTAATTGTATTGACTTTTTTGGGTTTATTTTTTGGGTTTAAAAATATTCGAGCGGGATTAATCATAACTGGGATACATGAAACAGTCTAATGTGATGGTTTTCATCCATGACAATTCTGGACTCTGGCCGTCCCGCCCTCTTCTTCTTTCCCGTGTTCATAATCGCAGAATCTCTGTTCAAAAATAAAGCCCACGTCACAAAATACGAAACCACATAAACACCAGCATCATTAACACACCTATTACCGCCATTTTTATCAAGATCATGCACACCAACACCATATCCCGAGGTCGGGCCCGGCAGTACCGTTTTAATTTTCATCTACCCGATCCAAGCGAAAAAGTTCGTGTGTCAGGCGGAGCGTCGGGAGTTCCTTTAGCCACGCTGCGTTAGGCATTGTTGTTGCCGATGTGGTTTCTGAAGATGCGGTCTGCGCTGCTGGCTGTAACTTATCACCGTCCGCATCATCAGTGTCAGCATCGGAATCAACATTAGATCGACGGTAAATCAGATCCTAGCTAGGATCTATGAAAAACCAGTGTATGTCGAAGGGGCATGATTTTTCTGAAGCTGGATCTTGACATTTCGGTGTGTATTTTTGCTGAGGTGGAAGAGACGTTGTGGGTGGGTATGAGAGGTTTTGTTCTCTTGACAGTGATTGAGAGTTGTCTGCGTTTTCATATGGAGATGTAAAGGAAATGGTAACGGCGGTGTGGAGGAAGAGAAGTAGCAACAGATGCAGATATTTCGCGGACAATAAGACTGGGGCCATTGCAAAAGACGGTGAAAAAATGGTTTCTCTTCAAAAATGAAAAGATATAAATGATCAACTGGAGAATCAGCTCTCTTTAAGTCCATGAGACTGAAACTAGGATGAAAGTGAAGAACAGGAAAGATGGGGTCATTTGATATATAAACGCGATCGCAAAGGAAATGAAGAGCAAAAGAGCAGATCAGTCAAACAAGCAAATTCTACAATAACCAATCAGACTATCAAGTGATTAGAGAAACGTTATATTCATGGCCAAAGTATGCCTCGATATACGTGCATTTCCATTTCCAGTTGGGCTTGTTCCTCTGTCATTGGAAGCCAGTAAACTCAACACCCAACGTATGTATAGCACTCATGCACATGTGCAAGAAGCCCACATGCAAGGAGCCAGCAACTTCCTCAGACATCGACATTAGGTTCCTTGTTCGCCATCAGCGTTAGAAAAGGAGCAAACGAATGCTAGGGACTGGTTTGAGGGTCCATGGTCGAATTAAGAAGCATGGTACCACAACACAAGATTCTGGCCAAAATCAATTCCCATCAGGCAAAGAACCAGTGACAACTCCGCAGAGCCCAGATGAACTCCATGAAATGAAACGAAAAGGAGACCCCAGAGTGAAAGAAAAGGTCTGTGGTGTTTTATAAATGGCATATTTATGGCTATTTGTGAAGCAGGACCAATCAGTCGCAAGCAGGCAATGAAAAGTGTTGTTTCTCTGTTCCATAGTGGGTCTCCAAAACATCATCATCATCATCATCATCATCATCATCATCATCATCATCCAGTTAATAGCTGATAATATAGAATCACTATCACCCAGTCAGTCGCGGGGAATGAAGCAGTGAAGCAACTGTTGGCTCAGCTTTGAAGGAAGAGATATTTTCAGTGCAAGTAAGTTAAGTTAATAGTCCTTGAAGAAGTGTGCAGCTCCTCGGGAGGTAGAGCGGTCACATGACCACGCGTTTTCCCTTCCAGTTAGTTCGTCCCCAATATTTGAACGCCTATTACAAGTAAAGAGACGTATGATCGGAAGATGGAAGCCTGACACCAATTAGTCCCTCCAAATGATCTTCCAGCATACGAAAACGGAGCATAAAAACAGAAGAATATCTAAGGAATTAATAGACACTCCATCAAAACCCGCACCATGAACCTATGGCAGATCACCACAACCCTGGGACCCCATCCCTCACCTACTATCCCGCCTTCTGCCACAAGGTTTCTCCCACCTTCTTTGCCTGGGTGAAGATGGCTGCTGTGGACGTGCACCGGTTGAAAAGTAGGCCGGGATTCGAAGGTGTGCCATTCTCCCTTTAACGATTAAACGCTGCATACATATTATACATGCGATGCGGTATCCAGTTCGCGATCAAAGGAACCCGTGTTTATTCGTGATGTGATATTCCACAGGCCAAAATCTTTACTTTTACCTCAACCACCCAATCCAATTCATCTGCGTGGCTGGCATTATTGTTGCGCGAGATGAACAGGAGCGCCGCTCCATCCTCGTTGTCGACGACAGCTCCGGCGCGTGTCTGGAGGTCGTGTGTTCGAAGACTGTGCCTGTGTCCACATATGGGTGCTCCTCGCGTACCAGCATCAGTCCTAGCATCGACATGACTACGGCCACCACCAGCAGCAACATCACTGGTGACTGCAACAGTTTGCATTCCATTCCAATACCTCCCACCCACCAAACATCCACCACCCACAAACCCATCAACATCACCCCGTTACTCCCCGGCGCCCGCGCAAAACTCAAGGGCACAATCGCCTGCTTCCGTGGCATGTTCCAGCTACATCTAGAGCGCTATGAGATGTTGCGCGATACGAATGCTGAAGTACGGTTTTGGGATGAAAGGACTAGATTGCGGGTGCAGGTGCTTAGTGTGCCGTGGGTCGTGGGTCAGGGGGAGGTGGAGAGGTTGAGGCGGGAGGCGGAGAAGGGTGACGCGGGAAGAGGTGGGGGTAAGGTTAGAGGTAGAGATAGGTGTGGTGATGGGGATATGAATCGCGACGGACATGTGATAGCAAGGAGGAAGAAGATGGAGATGGAAAAGAAGTGGGAGAAGAGGCGGGTGGAGAGGGAGGAGAAGGATAAGTTGAGGATTTTGAAGAGGTATATGGAGGAAGATGTTGTGAGAGAGAAGTTTGCGAAGAGATGTAGAGAGATGAGTGTTTTGCGGGTTGATAGTGAGGTGATGAGGCGGGTAGGGAAGGAGAAGGGCGATAATGAATGACTACAACGGATGGTGGGAATGTGGATATGAGTAGGCGCTGGTCACAGTATGTATGGAGATGTGTTCTTCTCTGTCTGAAATGCATGCGTCTGTTCAAAAGTGAGCAGTCGAGTATATTCAGTTTACGCCATATGTCACTACCTGGATAGAAGCACGTTTTACACCTTTGCTCAGAGAATCTCTGCCGCATGGCCAGACGCTGGACCAGGAACAAATTGGTTCGTTGAAGACATTTCAATTGACCAAAAGCAAACCAAATTCATATACCAATCAATTGTGCCTAGACAACTAAACATTCACCCTGGAGGGAGAAATATATCAAGCAAATTGCGTATTTATCAGGACCTGTGGACAAAAGCCAGGAAAAGGAAATCCTTTTTCCTTTTCTTTTTTATCCTTTTTTTTTTGTGGTGGGGGGAGAGGTGTGGGAGAGAGGAGAGGGGGAATAACTCCCGTAGATCATCAATCATATCATAAGCAACAGAAACATGAAAAAGATTACCCAAAATAAACCAATCTAAATATCTAGGTGAAATGATCCAAGAGAAATCAGAGGGTGGGGGAGAAGGAAATGGAGATATCGAGAAGCAGACATGAATCCTCCACGGAGATACCCACCCACCCAAAGTAAAGAAAAATGATACCCAAAAGAACAAGACTAGCGACCTAATCAATACCCACCTCTCCACGCTGCCCCTTGATCATGGCTCCCAGGCCCGCCTCCTCCTCTCCCGCCCAACAACCCCGTCCCACCCCTATAATAATCTTCGTCGGAAACCCAACTCCCCTTCGATGAATCATCCCAATACCGGTCTTTCTCCCTTTCCATTTCCCGATCTCGACCCCTTACCCCTTCCATATCCATACCCCTCTCCCTACCCTCCCTCCCCCTCACCCTCTCCTGTTCTCTCTCCCTCTCCCGCTCTCTATCCCCATTCCTCGACCTCTCATAACTCATCCGCCTATCCAACTCCCCCCGACCCTTCTCACTATACTTCCCATTTCCACCATCCCTCCCTTCATCCTCATAACCATAGTCATAATCCTCAAACTCATCCAAAAACGGGGAAGCAGAAGCTGAAGTCAGAGACCCCGACCCACCCGTACCGTGCTGGTGATGTGCATGCAGGTCGCTCTTGGCATGTCTATGTCCCTTGCCATACCCTCCTGCACCATCAAATGGACTGCGCTGACGACCACTCATCCCATTGAAATCATGAGAAGGCCTTTGATGGTGTCGGGGGCTAGTGGATGTCGTTCCAAAAGTATCAAACTTCAATGAGTCTTCGTACACCTTTCCCCCACCCGGCTGAATGGAGTAGGGCTGGCGTTCGCGCTCGATTGGGAGCGGTAGGGATTGCTGTTGTGATTCATGCGGATCAAGGATGTTCTGAGCTGATGAGGTACGTGGATATGTCTTGCAAGCGTGTTGGTCGTAACGAGAAGGAGATGACGAGAGGGGGATGGTGGTTGTTGGTGTCGTGCCGCCAGATGGGTCGTGGTAGCGCTGCGTGGTTGACCGTTGTTGTTGTTGTTGTTGCTGATGCTGCTGCTGGTGCTCCTGCTGGTAATGCTGTGGAAGTGATGGTGCTTCAGGGAATGAGGTTGTGGTTGTCGCCGTCTTTGGGTTGCGAAGTAGGTCAACTTGGCAGTGTTTACTGATGTGGCGCTCTAGATACTCTCTGAGAGTGTAATCAGCAGATCTAGGGAATAGGCGGCGGGATATCTCTTTAGGGAACCGTTCCTTCTTGTTATCTGGGTTGCTGATTGGCATTTCCCGTACAGTCCGCTGGAGACGGGCGAATTCCTGGTCTGGATGTGTCTGGATCATAAGAGTGGCCCAGCGCTCAAATCCGCAGGGTGTAAGTCCCGGTATGTCTGGTTTTGCATCGAGACTGTCTTGGACAAGATGGTGCTCTGCACGGACCTCACGATATAGCCGTGATATGTTGGAGATTTGATCGTCAAATATATCTGTTATTTGACGGTTAGTTCCAGTGATTATCCAGCAGTTATCGGGAAAAAGGGATTTTTTACCTCTCCAGGGATAAGAGTCTTCCAGCACATTCATTTCTTCATAGTACTTCTGCATTTTGGCAGGAGTAACTACCAGAGAGTTCTTTGGAGAATATTCCTCAATCTAGCAAACAAAAATTAGACTTGGAATCCAAACAAAAGCCACCAGTTACGTAGGTCCCCATTCTTACCAAGTGGACGGCAATCCCCCTCAGCAACTGCCCCAACTTCGCAGTAGGGTTTCCTTCTCTATCAAAAAGCTGGCCCCATATCTTCTCCAACGTTGTCTCCTCCGTTGCAGTAGACAGCCGTATAGGGCCTCTTGGACGAGATCCTTCGTGACCAAACCCTTCGTGGCCAAATGGAGAGCTAGTCGGATTCTCAGGTACGGGGCTTGACCTCGGACTCCTATGTACGTTTTGGCCGTAACGTGACTGGGGGTGTTGGGGCGGAGGAGACGAATAGTAAGGCACAGGTTCATCGGATGGTTTGTCCAGGGATGGCGGCGTATAGACTTGGCCAGGTGCAGCAGAAGGGGAATAATTGGACTGGTTCGGGCCTGGTGGAGGTTGTCCATACGCTTGAGCAACGGCTGGAGCGGGAGATGAATGGAAAGGTTGCTGTTTGCCTTGGTTATGGCCCTCGAGGTTAACACCGTTCAGTTGTTGAATGACGGTAGCGGTGATCTGGGAAACAAGCTCAGGGTTTAGGTAGGTATCTGCCTTGTTAACTGCGGCATTGATGGCATCGTTTACTAATACATTTTGATGCTGTTGTTGATAATATAAGGCTGGATTTGGGGGGTATGTTCCGGGGACGTTAGGGTTGGTATTTGGCGGAGGTGGAGGGTGTTGGGGAGGTGGTGGATGCTGCTGGGGCAGCCGGGACTGATACTGTGGCTGATTCTGAGGGGGGTGTTGGGATTGAGCTGTATTCTGCTTTATCTCAGGCTGGTAGCTGTTGGGATAAGTGGGGTGCTGCTGATAATAGGGATCTGGATTTGGTCTGTGAGGCGGAGGTATCGAGGGACTGGTGAACTCGACGGGATTGTTGCTGGAGCTGCCAAACCCTTGCTGATGCTCATACGCATGTGGGTTTTGATAGCCGTCGTAAGACATGCTGGAAACAATTTAAGGTTGGCTGAAACGTTGTAAAACAGTGGGTTTTACCCTGTTTTTCGAACAGAAATTTGCAGATCCTGGTGGTAGGAGGTTGAATTTTAGAGGCCTTGAGAGGATCTCTCCAAGTAATACAGATTATTGCTTGAATAAAATGGATAGATAACGTAGGAGCGTCCAGGTAAGCTCCCGTATTTGATGAAAGACGTTCTTCTGGATAGACCGGGCAGTTGGTGAGTTGGATTTTGTTGAGATAAATGAATGAAGCAGTAGTTTACGCAAAAGGAAACCCAGGGAGCTGTGATGTCAAAATGAAGCGAAGTGGGGCAGACTGATCAACAACCCCCAACTTGAGGCTCAACGGCCACCAGAAACATTCTATTATTTGAATATAACAACGAAGATATATCTATTAGATAGGATAGACCATATTACAACCTATATTTAATTCAAAATCTGAGATGATAATCAAATTGAGTGACTGAAATATACAAATCAAATTGTAGAACATAATAAAGTAATAAAGTTAATATCTTAAAAAACCTTTTAGCAAATGCATGTAACTTATTACTGAATCAAGAGATTAATCTAAAACTTATTAAATTAACTTTCTATTCTTAATTTACTTAATTAACTAGTTGAAAATTTGAAGGTATTAATAACTATTTTTTTAAATTATTATAAAACTAATAAAAAGTAATTAAATATAAGCTTATAAAAATATATTTAATTTAATTTTTAATAACATGTTACAATTAAAGTAGTTCAATAAATTTCATATTGTAATAATAGTAGTGTAATTAATCTACATCTTTCTGAGAGGAATTCAGCTTCTGTGAGCTTGAAATTCACATTATTTAACACGATAGTAAGATTTGAAGCTTGAGAATGGTCAAATAAAAACATTTATTATTGAAAAAATAAAAATCATATGCATTGAGTGATAACCTGACAGAGATTATTGTCACTCAACAAATCATCCATGGTCTGCTAAATATAGAGTATCCATGGATATAATCATACGCAAAATATCAGATATCTAGCAGGTGCTTGTTGGGGATGCTCTTTCAGGCATGTGCGTATATACATCGGAGAGCCAATGTCTTTAATCAAGTTGGTAAGCTAACATCCAGAATAGCTTGCTTATCCGTGGTTGAGATTTAGGTTAGTTCCTCCGTATCCATAGATTTTTCTCTGGGACTGATTTTAGGTTAGAAGTAAACCAATGATATTTTATTAGTATGCTATATTTTTGTTCTTTTCAACAGCTAAACTTTAGCTTGAATTGGAAAGTTGCAAAAACAGAAATTGAAACATTACGATTTGGGTTCCACCATTTATTAACCGTGATAAAATGCATTTTTTTGTTTTTTTTTTTAAAAAAAAGTTTATACGCTAGCTGTCTGTTCTCACTGGGGCATCAAATCATGATAACCACGGCCAATTTGAGTGGCAACCCGAATATTGCTTTCCGTCTCCGCTTTCTCTGGTGGTGCAAAACAAATAGCAGGATGCAAGAAGTAGCATAAAATATAAAGCACGGAATTAAGCTGGAAACAAGAGACAAGGAGCAGATCTCATGTTGATAAAAGAGCAACCCGCTATGCCGGAAATCAACCAAGAAGCTGCTGGTTATCGTAAGATAGACTTAGGATATCGCCTCGAAACTAAATGGCCACCGTCCACCTACATATATTTTTGGAGGTCAACGTCGGATTCATCTTCATCATCCGATTTGACGGTCCTCTCAGTTGGCCTAGGCCGGTGCATGGTTGGCGCCTCGTTTTTCGAGTAACGTGTGCCCTAGATTTTATTTCCATAATTAGATCATTTGCACAAGAGCGTGAGAACGTGGTGGCGACGGCAGCATGCGGAAGAAAACAAGAGGAAGAGAATATGAGAGAATACCACGTACAGGAGTCTTTGCAAAACCGGGATTGCCTCTTTTCTGTCTTTCCGCAGCTGCCTTGCTGGCCATCTGGCTACAAGCACGAACTCCCAACATCTCCCATCCACTGTGCACACTCGGAGGGGAAGCTGGTGCTTCAGCAGTCCGGATATGCGGCTTGCCCCGCGGATAGAAGGCGACGAATTCATGTTCAACGTGGAAATCTCCGTTCTGCTCCTGTTCGTTGGAAGATTCAACTAGCTCGTGTTTCTTTAAAGATTTGGACACCTCGCGTGCCTAAGAAGTTTCGGCTAGCTCTTGATTCTTAAGGGATTCGACCGGATTGCCTTCCTTGGTTAACTCGCGTTCTTCAGAAGTTTCGGACAGCTCATCTTCCTCAGAACCTTCGGACACCCTGCGATCCTTGGAATGTTTGGCCAGCTTGCCTTTATATCTTGCATCAATCCACATTCCACTGCCGTCGATGCCATGGTCATCGGTGTTTTGGTCTGCAGCAGTTAGGTTGACAGGATGGGAGGTTTTCTGCTCCTGGATTGCATTGTCGGTGGTGGCAGGGTCACGCGTTGGTGCAAGAGCATGACGATTGCCTCCTTGGTTATGGGTTATGATAGTGGCTGCATAGCTACTCGCATTTTCAATCGCCTCCCTAAGATCTTCTTCTGAAACGGGTTCCCTATCCAAGTGCCCCTGGACACAGTTTTTGCATCGCTGTATTTCCAAAAGAAATGATAAAAAACCAATCAGTAAGACGAATGGTGACATGGTGGGATTTAAATCAAAGTTCAGAGGATACATATGAGCAAAGCTTACCGCGCTATCTGGGTCGTGACGCTGGGTTTTACTAAAGAACTCCAAAGCCATAGTCATGTCACAGACGCAGCAGGTGAGCTCAACAACCTGGTTAGTCGCACAATTAAAGCAGATGGCGAGTCCTTCATTGGTAGTGGCATTGGAACTCTTTTCGAGGATACATCTGCGAAGCAGATCGAGTTGGCGTTTGGAGAAAGCTGACTGCAAGCGGGTCCTGGTGCACATCTTGCATCGTATTCTTTTTTTATTTTTATTTTTATTTTGTCATGACATAGACCATTTACATAAAACACTGCTTAGAGTTGGGAGAAGGGTTAACTCTCACGTTTCAGGTAGTTTGATGGAAGCGATGCTGTAACTCGCTTAGCAATCCGTTCTTCACGATGCAGGGGAGGAGAAATGTAGGTCTTACCGCCGGTTATGGGCGATGTAGTCGAAACGGCGATTCCGGGGTGCCATGGCTCCTCAGATTGCTTCTTGATAGATTCTGAAAGGAACAGGGCACGGATGATGAAGGGGAAGATTTGGAGCTGCAGCAAAGTCAAGGAGTGATGGATGAGAGACTCAGGCAGTTTTGAAACCTAGAGGGCACTCATCCCCAGCAACTGACCGTTGTTGAGGAAATGAAGAAGGTAGAAGAGCATTGTTGTATTCTTCAGTGAGAGATTCGTGTTGTGTGGTCTTTTTGAAATGGTGAAGGTATATCAAATTACCACAGTGAGGGTTGAGTTGTCCAATAACAAGCTGCCACTCAGAGGCTGCTGGTATATAACAACATCTCATGTACGAAGTATTTTCCATCAAATGGGACAAACTAAGCTTCAAGCCAGAGCTTACGCTTCTTTAATAAAGAGACCTGAGATCCCTCCCATTCATCCAAGTAGAAGATCGGGGAAGTCAACCTCATAGCCTCAGTGGTTCGCCTTCAACGAGACAATGCATATATTGTAAACGTTGATAGATCCATTGGCCCTTGGAAGGCAGTCTTTCAAATCCCGATATCGACAGTTTGAACTTCAATCCGAGAACTTGAGGAAAGTTCTCAAAAAGTCGAATCGCAAATAATATCGCAATTCTGAAGCGTTTGCCAAACAAACGGCAGTTGACTGAGAAGAGGATAGCTGTACACGACGGAGAGCAACATGCAGAGTTCAATGCACAGTTGTCATTGCAAAGCATATACCGAGCTCAAGGTTATTAAATGACCTCGCATTGGGCAATAAAACACAACCAAGACAGACGAATTGGAATAGCGGCAACAGAGCCAGGCCATCTCCGGCATAAACACCGTTAAGAAAAAAAAAAAAAAAAGCTCCAAATTCCCAAGAACATCATCGACAACCGTTCAAGATTAACCTGATGCAATAATCCCGCGGTTCTGAAGTAGCTTGGATTGCTAAAGGCATCAAGTTAACTACTCCAAAGGTCATCACTCGATAGGCGTTTGAAAAGTGGAAGCCTCAAAAATCTTAAAAACAATTCCGCGAGTCAACCATTAGGAGAAAATAATACCTTCAGATTCTTCAGGGAGTCGATGTGGTGGTGTTAGGGTGTCGAGCCTCATGGTTGGAGACGTGGAAATACGCGTTTACTGGAAGGCTGTTGGATTGATCCGCCGAGCCAACTAGTTATCTACTCTTCTCACCCGCAAGGCTGTGTCTGTAGTTTCTTCGTGTCCTCGGACAACTCTCTTAACAGGCATTCGGCAGAGTGAACGTCCGCAGCGACGTGGATGCGTCCCTCTCGTTTTCAAAAATGACTGCATGTGATCCAGTCTGGCTTCTTGACAGAAATCGAAGGATGGTTTTACTACTATTAGTTGAACCCCAATTCCCCACGTCTGGACACAATCCACGCCGTTTGAAAGGAAATGAGCTCTGCGATGATCCATGGTAAAGCCAGCTGGAATTTTACGTCTAGCTACCTTGGTCCTGTATTGTCCACGATTTAAACGAGCCAGGAGATACATCTATCTGGCATATGCCAACAGATGAAATATCGGGAGACTGGGAATCCACTTCCGTGATTCGGATGGGTTCTATTACTGGGGCTCCTACGACTTGGAGAAATCGCGAAATCCCTAAGGTGACGCCACTTGAGGGTATATTTACTACAGGGACTAGCACAACCGGCAACAGTTGCCCCAAAACAGAGAGTTTTAAGAATGGCGCAGCAGAATTGAGCCTTCCTTCAATGCCGTTCCACCGGTGGCGTTTAACCCTCTGTTATCACGAGTTCATGCTGCTGACGGCAAGGACGCAACGAGGACTGGGGAAACGTCGAACCCTCAGGTGACGATCCAGCCCCGCGCTGTGGGAAAGAATGAAAAGCCCTAGGAGAAGAGTCAAGTGAAGATATCTCGGAATGATACGGCAAACCAGCGGCAGGTGCTGACCGAACCACTATTAAGGCGGTTTCATCTGCTCGGTGATCCACCTGATGCGATCAGAAACACCCCAGGGCCTGAACGTGACCAGCCTTCCAGCCGTCTGTTGGCGAGACACCATGGAGGCTTCTCGAATAGAAGTGTTCGATTGCCTCTAGAAAAATACAACCCGAGTCTTCATTCCCAACGCGCAGGTCTCCGTATATAGGTATCGAGCTTTCCCGCATCGTTGCCGTGGAAGAAATACCGAGATGAAGCCACTCAGGACCTTATAAAAAAGATAGATGAAGTTTAGAAAACCGAGATGCAACTAGACTCCGATTATATACATAGGTCATGATTTTAGCGGTATAATTCTGCAAAGGGTTGCAGTCATTTTTGGCAAAGATGGTGCATTGTTCGAGCTGTAAAACTGTAAAACTGTAAAACTGCTTGCTTCCACCGCTGGTTTTGTATTTTTTAACACCCCCTTGCCTGTCTTTGCCGATACGACGCTGAAGAATGCAAGTGGTCTCTTCCCTTCCGACCAGAATTACCGGCAGCACTCGATCATTGGCAAAAACTGAAAATGGGCCTCCAGGTGGGGAATTCGAATGTGGAAATCTCTGGCAGGCGTTCGATAAAGAAAAAAAAGAAGAAACTGAAGTGTTACATTGCGGTAGTTATTGTGCAAATCTGCTTCAAGTAGGCTGGCTATCTTAAGTACTTAAAGTATGCACAATCTTGGTCTATGTTTATTTTTCTAAACCGTGACTGCTTACTACTCTTCCACGTCCAGCAACCAACAGGTTACGAGTGCCGACGCTGAGTACTGTGCATAACCAAGTTAGTTACCCATGGCTTGGCTCAAGATCAAGCCGATACTTTGGCCCCTGGTGACACTTAACTACAAAAGCAACGCCTACTTTCCACCGTATATATATTAGTTGTTCTTGTAGTTAGCAACCTTTGCAATCGACCAAGCTTGCCATTCGGTCACTTTCAAATGAAGAGGCCATCACTTTTTCAAAAACGCATCCACAGTGATAGATCATTGGTTAATTTTCTCACAAAAGCAGATTTTTCAGTCGATCAATCACCCTTCGTCTCGCAGCTTCATCCGCGAAACGTTAAATAGCGTTATGATCCTTATCACCAAAGGGTGTCCTAGTAAAGGCCGTGGGCCCAGATTTTGCACAGGGATCATTGTGTCCAGACATCATTGCACACAGCTATAAACAGCAGTGGACGCTAGCATTGAACAACGAGGATCGTACAAGGAAATAATCATATTACTATAGAGAACCCTGTTAGCATTCAACAGCGCGATAACTGCGGCAGCACTGCATAGGATTACATTTCTAGGGGAGAGGAATTCACATGGCTTGCCGAGTTTTGGACTCACTCGTCGCTGCTTGATTCAAGTGAGAGATGAACCGCTCGGTGTAGTTAGGTCACACTATGAAGGCAGGAAATATCAAGCCTCTAGAATGCCACAGCTGTTCTCGCCGAGTTTTATGATGTGCACAGGAGTGTGCTGATTAGCCACCTGAGCGTTTCTTGATATGATCTACAAGTAGGGGACCTGTGAGAATTCTCACCTTATCCAGTCCAACAATGTTACGGATTATGCATGTCGCTGGATGCGTCTTCCGGCAAACAAATGTAAGTCTCCATCCATTTCATCAAATCATGAGAGAACGTCGGTTAATGGCCAAGATTAGGAGCAATGGGTTCATATTGGTTCACTTCTCTTCCGGCGATTTGTGGCCCAGCTTACACTCTGTTTCTCAATCTTCAAATCCAGAACAAGATCCATAACAAGCAAGCGTTCGAAGAGGCACCTACCATTTCCTGTTTACCATCTGTATATGCGTCCACTTTTGACTCTAGTTAATGCTCGAAGTCTACTTCAAAGCTCAACAGCCCAGCATCGCTTATATGGTTACCTGTGCAAATAGTTAGTTACAAGCATGTTAGCAACTTTCAAGGTGTCCACTAAAATTGTCGAATGTTTGACAGGTTCGATAGCTCCACCGCTAGTTGCCACAATGTCCTCCACAGTTGCTCCCCCAATCAATCGGAAAGAGAACTGATAACACTTTGCCCAAGCAACACACTAAGGTCAAATCCAAAAAAGCACCCATAGCCATATTTGTAAGTATTAGCCATTTCCGGAGCGTCTTGGTCGTGCTTTCGGATTAATTTCATTCTGCTAGATGCGCACTCTGGCGTTTGAAACAAAGGCAATACAATTAGAGCTAGGCGACTACATCAGAACCTGGATAAGAATAACAGGGGGCGTTGGAGTTTAACAACGAGATAATCTTGCTGAGAGCTATTTGAAAGTGGGAGAGCCCCTTATCTACATACCTCAAAAGAATGGAAAAACCCCGTCACAATCAATCAGTGCCATAGCCCACCTCGAAATTGAGCCAGAACGTGCCCTCTTAAGATTTTCAGTTTCCTGAAACCAACCACCTTCTCCACTCATGTTGCCCAAACTTCGAAGCACATCCAAGAGCTTCCCTCTGGAGAAGCCACCTCCGATGCCCCAATCACGCATTGGACCATGAGAGCCATGACTAACCAGTTCCAGCATCAACAGAGCCACTCAGCAGAAGACATTCGACATCCGCATCTCCTTCATAACCAAGTTCCGAAAGTTCAATAAGCTTGGAACTGTTGCCTCGACGCTTAGCGTGATACCAAACGTGTCAATAGGTTCTATCCAGTGGATGTTAACCGGACGCAGCCATAGCGTCTCCGGCGTCGGAAATGCAGAACCCGTGCTGCACGTGATGCACTGTCTTGGGAGACAGATTATGCAACTGCGTTTGGGCGTGAGGGGGTGTAGGCATAAGATGGTGGATACTGATCTTGGTTTGCGAGCTTGATGCGGACAAAGAAGATGCGGGAGACCTGTTGAGGGAAAACTAAAAGTTGGGGTTCCAACCTGAAGAGGCGTCTATTAACTATCTCACGTGTTACTGTTGGTACTGCTGGGTTTAGGGTTCGCCGAGTTGGGGGATATACGGTAACTAGCTATTACAATATGGCCGGCCAGAAAGATCCTCTTGATGGGTCACCATCTTGGTAATAGAGATCATTCATATATATGTGCCAGGATCTGCTTCCAAGGCTCTCCCTAGAGAATGTAGGGCAAGTAAGCTCAGTCAGACTTATCTGGCATGATCGTAACCGTGTGGTACTGAAATCCATAACTTTTGCTTTCCCCTCGTAATACAGCACGGATTCTCCTCCTGCTATATCTTCCTTCTTCTTTCGCCTTACTTCATGCCACCATTGTCACTGAAATTTCATCTTCCGTGATAACTTCAACGTGGAAGAGAAGAAAAAAAAATGAAATAAAAAATGGCACTACTAGCCCATTTTAAGATCCAAACAGGAACGGTCAGAAAGCCCTCACATTTTGAAAAGTCCAGTTTGAAATACACCACCACTCTTCTGTGTAGTACCGTTATTTTATTAACAGTGGTAAAGGAGACCTGTATCATGTGGAGGCCAGTATCCAAGTCTCTTCTTCTCCGTACCCGTTCAAGGGTGCGCTGAGTCAGGGCGGCTCCCAGATTATCCCGACCAATTTCAATAATATAGTACCCATCACTGAGCTTCGTCATGTCAAGGGGGAGAAAAATGAAAACTTCCCAAACTCAGCCATGCCATGTAGGAAAATAGCACACTCCTGCTTGCAGCTTTTTGTGGGCTTTCTTTTTCTTCTTCTTCTTTTTCTTTTCTGTTTTTCTTTTTATTTTTGTAAATTGTGCTGGAGAGAAGGTTCCATGGGTAACCCAAGGGTTGGATATCGAAACCCAGGGCTGCAACCATAGAAAGGGTCCAAGTCTTAACCACGGAAACCAAAGCCCATTTTGCGGGTAATTACCTCGAAAACTATCAGTGAAATTGATATGTGAGAAATAATCATAAATATTCGTCTCCTTTTATTTGGGTTCTGGAGTTTCCGTAGCGGGCCGCTGCCGCACGGAGCTGCGGCTAGCGAGCGGGCGCTTTGCCTATTTCGGCCCCCCTCGGAATCTGCTGCTCCATGAGGGCATCAATATGCACTGAACAGTCACTGTCAGCAACCAATCTAGGTATGCTGCATTTTGAACGCATTTGATGTGCATGATTATTCAGTAACTGCGGAATCGGTAGGTAACAATTTTCCAAGGCACAGTCACAAATATCAATTTATGGCCCCTAAAATCTCTTTGCTCAACAGGCCTCTTCCGCATGATCTCTCGACAGGGAGAAATCAACTAGCCTATAGCTTATTGAAATTATAGGCGAAAACCCAAAATGAAGGGCTCTACAGATATTCATATTATACTCCAGAGTAAGGGAGGGAGGAGCATATCAATATCCCAAAGCCACGGCGGCTGGGGAACGCCGAGACCATTATTTATTTATTCACTGGTAGGCCGGGGTAAAGGAGGCAAGAAAGGACCAAGACGGGCCAGAGGATATTTGATCGATGATCAAACGAGGAAAATATTTTCCATGAAAAGGGAGACGTCGACACAAATATGAGATTCTTGCACGTACACTGTGCTATTGCCATGAGGAATTGGGGGCAAGGTTGCACAGAGTGTCAGCTGGTTGAGACATCTCAACCCTGCACCCATGATCGCCCTGAGGCAATGGATTTGTTTCAAGGTCATTTCACCGGTGACTCGCCACCCAGCGTCCAATCTGTTTGTTCGGGCAGGCTAACTTTTTTGCCGCGGAACAAGCAGACTCGAAACTTGTGCGATAGACCGATGGTGGCGTTGAGTGGGCGGTGGGTTGGAAGTTTATGATCACCACGGATCCAAAATAACTCCGTTTGCCAGGTGGCAGATAATTACAGAGATAGTTACAGCAAAACAAGAGTGTTTATCATTTGAGCTACAATTATTTCGCATGTTCGAGGTATAATCTTCAAGATGAACAAAAAGCGTCCCCTCCTTTCAAAACCGCTATTCACGCCTAATTCAATCTCCGTTTCCCATTTTTTTTAATCAAATATATCAAAGGAGCCTAGGCTGGGATAAAATGCTACCCTTTGCCAGGTACAGAGTAAGGTACATACATACCTTACATCTCCTCTCATTACGAGGCAGGGGAGCGAATGAAAGGTGCCTTTTGAAGTCCCATGCTAAGAAGAATAGAACAAGCCAGAAGAAATGCAGGTTCCGCAACTATGGAGATGACATTGGTCTCATCCTCGATGGCCGCCTGCACTAAGGCCAAGCTAGAAACATCCATCCACAGAGGAGGGATCGTAACTGGAAGCAGCCGGGTAAAAGAACTGGGGCGCCTGGATCTTTTTGTTCAATTTCAACGGTCCGCAGGATACGTTTTTTGAGTTTCGGCCCCATAATTTTTCAACCTGCCAACAGCTACAGCTCTACAGAACGCTCTTCTGCAAATGCGATTCTGGATTGATGCAGTGAACAGCGGCATCCGCCATCTTCTCTAGCAATGATAATTTGCATAGGCAACTATCTTATCTTCCGGGATTATTTTGCTACCAACATGTCCTTTTTTTTGAGGGGGAGAGGGGGGTGGTCTGATCTAATGATACAACAAAACTTCTGAAGGGGAATAATAATCAGAAGTACCATGCATCCCTGTAGCACATCCATAACCTTGCACAAAGCTGACAAAAGGGGCCAATTCGGAGATGATTATCTTCTGATCATTTTCTGGGCTTGGTATGAAGAGAAGCCGAAGATACAAGCCGTTTATCACATGTCCCCCAGACTTTTGACCGCCCCTCCAGCCAAAATAAATGTCCAGGAAATTGGTTACCGAATTATGATTGGTTGGAAACTCCTCAATTAAAATTCCCTTGTTATTATTTTCGATTTTTTAATTTGGGTTTTCTTCACCGGGGCCACGGGCCCTCCAGCGCTCTGAGATGGGGGACCAAGAGGTTGGGTGGGTTGCCTTAACTCGGGCATTGATCATCGGTTGGGTCTCGAAAAAGCAGTTGACAGGATGAAACCAAAACTGTACCAGTCTTGTTTACGATGTGTCTGGTATTTTATTTTCATTAAGGGCAAGGGCGGCTTTAGTGATTAGGCAGGTTTTTGGCGTGATTATTTCTCATCGCTTCTCTTGGCGCCCCTTTCTTTCCCCCCCCGACCCTTGGTAAGGACGTTATGAAATGTACATACACTCCTTAACGTTTGAAACGTTTCCAGTCTCCATCGGTCGGGGACCCGGGATCTGGATGAAGCAAAGGGGCGCACACGAGCATTGGAAAATAAAGAAAACAAAAATCACCACCAAAATAACATGATATCTGATGACGCATTTGTTTCTCAATATACCCGCCTCTTCTCTATAGAAATATTTTTTTAATCCTTTTTTTTTAGTTGTTTTATTTTATTTCATTTTTCCTTGGGCAGCCGCCGAGTTTGTGATTCCGTCGGGCCTCGAGAGAACGCCAGATTGAGGCTAGGGCCTTTTTCAAACGGATCGAGTTTACAGGCTGTGCTTGGAACCCCGCAGGTGAGAGGGAAAAGGACTTTGGAATGAACTTCCAGGTGGCTACTCCTTATATTACGCTCCCTCTCCGTGTGTCTTGGCAGATGTTGATCAGAGGGAATAGATTTCGCCGCAATACAATACAATACCCAAAACCTGTTGCCGATTTAGCTAATTACCAAGCCCCGTACAGGCAAATACAAGTGACCATTTGCCATCATCATCATCATCATCATCATCATCATCCATCACTAATGATACTTTTCCCATACACTGCACTATATTCGGGAGCTATGGGCAAATCGAAAAGAGCGAACCAAAAACGATAGCTCAGATGCAGAAATGCCTAATTTTTTTTCTAATTTTTTTTTTTTTTTTTACTGAAATCATACCCAGGTAGCCAGCTCCAGCTTCGATTCAGGCTCCAATATCTCTCTTCAATTATTCCTCCCGCGGGTAACATGACCTCTTCCAAGTTTGTGTTGTGCCTCCTTGGCTCGCCGTGGACGCTGGAAGGATCGTTTGTCAACGATCTCAAGGCAACCTGCCAACCAAACCGGAGTAGATTTGGCAGATGTTGGGTGGAGGCTGGAAGCTCTGACAAAGGTGCGTGCCATGGCCCCACGGCCCATGGAACGCTTCATCCATGCGGGAACCTAAAATTTAGGAACATCAATCACAAAGAGCTTGTCCGGAGTAGGTATGTGGATTATAGACTTTTTGAAATATGTATACGTGACTTGCATACGGAGGAGTTTGGTCTGTTTTAACGTGTTGAGTCCGACAAATCGTAGCAGGGAGGTACCAGAGTCATATTCGAGTTTATTCTTCTTCTTCTTCTTCTTCTTCTTCTTCTTCTTCTTCTTCTTCTCCTCCTCCTTCTTTCGTGCCTGGGTAACTGGATGCTAGTCTACGAAAGGCATTGGAAGTAGGCCACTTGAATGTTGGGGAGTATTTCTGCTGAGACACAAGGTCGTGGGTTCAATATCCCACCTTCACCAATGGTATCCCTCACAGAAGGAGGGTGGCTGGTGAATTAGAAAAGGATCAATGATTGAGAGAATTAGGGCACAATCATCATGTTTCTACTCCGTAATTTGATTCTTTGTGTTTAGATGATACCACTACTTGCAACTAAGCTTTTGAGACTTTTCCTAGTTAGTATAAGATCGGTCCTCAGGAGGGAGATGAGTAATCATACAGGGGACTAACAGAGCTCCCCTGAGAATTGCATCCGTCCATATGGGTGTTGGTTAAAGCCCCCCTTCATCAAGGATGACATATCTGACGTATCTCGAATATTGGTACCCAGTCGGCGCTATCATAGCCTCTGACTGCATATAGTTAGTTGGCCAAGAATTATTAATAATAATCATATCAACAAACTAACAGGATGCTCATG